TAGAGGGTCGTTTTCTGCTCTCTGGTGGTCATAGGATGAAGGCTCCAAGTCTTCCTCAATCTTACTCTGCTGACCTTTTCTCACTGTTTTCCCTTTAAGGCTTATCTTGTCCTAGCATTCCAGGACTCTCTGCTAGGCTGTTAATTATTATGCAAGCCTCAGCGATTTAGCAGCCTTCAACTTCTTCCCGATTTTACACACAAAGCACAGTTTTGCAAAGCATCATATCATATCTATATATTTAGGTGAACAAAAGAGTTTCTGTCTATTACAACACTCAAATCGATGATGAACCTTAACCCTGCTGTCATCCTACTCACACTGAGCAGCCTGACAGCGGCCTGGATTGTCCCACAGACACGCCAGAACATCTGGGTGACCCTGGCACAAACACTCCAGAAAGAAAACATATGTCTATCTACCGCAGCAGCAAAAAATCCTATGTCTACTTGCCTGGTAGGAATCTCTTTGCAGCATGATGAATTTACACATAGCTTTAATGCACTGACTCCTGAACCAGGTAATAAACTACACCACACTCAAATAGAAGCAGAGTTAAAAAACCCCATTGAAGAGTGGCTACCACATTTTTCTAAGGCAACGCAGGAACCCCAGGAGTTAGAGCTACTGGGTTCCTCTCCAGCATTATACTGTGTACACTTTAGGGTCAGTCCTCCAATTAATAAAGAAACCTTCCACCATATAGTACAATATCAAAAAGAATTCACAGCAAAAAAGTGGTGCCGTGTCCTAAGCTACATCAAAGTGCACTCCTCAGCTCATACACATCCCAAAGGCCTCCCCAAAGGACTGTTCCTCATATGTAGCTGTTGTGGTTTTAAACAAATAACTAAGAAAATTACTTACTTCTTGCTGTGAGATATGGATTAGAACAAGAGCAAAACAGGCATACAACTTAAAAGGGGAAAAAAAAGAAAGTTTATTGACAAACCACAATAATAAGAACACCAGAATAAACTTCCAGAAAAAACCTTTCCATCCCCTATCTACCCACTATTCCCTTGTTCACATGACCACAGAGACAAAAACTCTGGAACTCTGATGGTTAAAACAGTCCCAATTCTTGCTAGTCTTTTCACCAGTCTTTATAGAGAAACAGAAATTTCTTCCTGTTAATTTATGGAGTTTCTCACAAGAAAACTATTTTTGTTATAGTTTTCTATTGCCATAATGTTAGCTGCTCAGAGCTGCTATTATTAGAGTTCACTCCTCCCATTTTCACATCACTCTGAAGTATGTATGGGCCATGAGTCTACAGGTAGCATTTTTAAGGATAAGTTATTCAAAGGCAAAAAAAAAGTCTTCTTCATCTGTTTCTGTGAGCTTCACCAGAAAACAGTTTTCTCATTGCCTTTCAAGGCTTCAAATCTCCCAACAGTTTTCTCATTGCCTCTCAAGGCTTTTAATCTCCCAGCACTTCACTATACTATAATTACTCTTTACTTAAATTTACACTTTGAACACTATTCCTCTCTAGATCTTATATCATGAATTAAAGGAGTTCTTCTCAGGACTTCATTGTCCATCTCCATAGTTTTAACAGGGAGATATTTCAGCTTAATTAAAGCATCTTCTTAATTCTCTACCTTTCTTGAAGCTTCTTTTCTTTCTTGTCACTGGTAGTTTATAAAGTCTCTTTTCATGTTGATCTCTCTCTCTCTCTCTGGATAAAAAGATTAATCCGCAAGTCTCATCTGGAAAATGAAAGAGTTAACATCTTGCCCAGGCTTTTGTAGATGGTTCGGAGATCTCTGCCGAACAGGAGCTGGAGCCGTCTGTGATGGAAGGTTCCTCATGGCTGCTCTGGAGCGTGTAGTCGCTGCTCCAACCCGCTGCAAGTCCAGGGCCTCTCTCTTTCTTCACTGGGCAGTTTCTAGTGAATTTAGTTACAACAAAACCTGCAGCCGAGCCAGAGATCGGCTCGGCCCAGCCCGGCCCGAGGAAAACCTTCCCCAGGCCCCCCCATCTCCTGGCCGGGAGACGGGGCAGCCCCGGCCCCATCCCCGCCCAACCGCATGGCCTGGGCAGGGACGGGAGGCCTGGAGCTCTGCCACCCTTCACAGCCAGGAAACAAAGAGAACCCAGAGAGCTCTGCTTTTACATTTTAAGGTAGGGTTCACAAGTTGATCCCACTTTTCAATGGCTTAAACTGCTGTCAATTCCCAGCAATGACCGATAATTGGTCAGGAGAAAAGACTCCAAGCACTTCCCAGCAACTCCAACTCCCTTAAAGGTAAAGTAACTCCATGACAGTAGCCTTTCAAGCAAGGCAAACACCCTGGTTCAGAAGCCAGCACAGTGGCCACACCCAGGCCACTTGGATCATTTTACCCACAAGACATCAATGTGATGGATGGCGAAGAAATGGCGTTTATTGCAGGAGAATTTGACATTTTATAACCTAGGGTCACTATGTTACTCCCATCTGCTTTCATATAGCTAGGTGCTATTAGCTTGGCTAATTGCAGGAGGCCTTACCACCCTAACGGAGAGTGGGGGTTTACTAACTTACCATGACATTCCGATATCTTTCAAACGCCAAACCCTTTCTTCAACATGTGGGGATTGCGCATGGGCAGGGATTCCATCCCGTCTTCTCGGAGGGCCATGTACCATAGGGCGTCTATCATTGTTAGCACCCAATCAAACATTAATTGGTGAATGGACCCATAAAAACAATTTGACTAGAAAAATTAAAAAAAGAAGTGTTACAAATTTAGATGAAAGTTGTGATTCAGGGATTTTCCATTGGTCCAAATCAAAAAGAATTGCTGCATCCATTTTCCTTCCTTGGGTGGCTGCAGCCAAATCCCTAGGTGAGTTGGGACACCTTGAATGCTGGGTGGTAAAACAAGTGAATTTAACATCTAACGCCATAAGTGCCCTCCTAGAAGATGAGGAAATTACCAGGCAGGCAACACTCCAAAATCATGCAGCAATAGACTTTCTCCTATTGCTCCATGGGCACAAGTGCCAGGAGTTCGAGGGTCTCTGCTGCATGAATCTGACATCAAAAGCTCCTAACATCCATGCTACGCTCCGAGAGATGAAAAGCATGATCAGACAAGTCAAGCAAGAAGCAGATGACTAGTTCAATGGACTGTTTAAAAACTGGGGACTCTTGGGGTGGTGAGCTTCAGTAGTGAAAACTATTCTGTTGCTGCTAGTCATTCTTTTGCTAATGGTGTTAGTGTTTGGAGTGTTAAGCAGAATACTGTACAGAAGCATAATTAAGCTAATCTCAGCTACCTCAGATGTCAACCATATAGAGTTGGCAGACCGGAGTAACCCTCACCGGCCTGCAAATGAGAACTGGTGGGTCACTTCAGGTCAGTAAGTCATATAAGCTCGTTACCTTTTATTTAATTATATATAACAAAATAGGTGGAGATGTGGTAGTGCACATTTCTGGGCATTACTTGCTTTCTGTGTAAACCCTCCCTGCAGCTGTGACGTGTTTTTCCCCTCCCCTGTCTCTGAAATGTTATCCCCTTGGTTGGTGTTATATGTCTCCCTGCCCCTCTCCTGAGGTTTGAAAGAGCTGGGGAAATGTATCCTTTTCTCTCCTGGATCCCAGCCAGAATAAATATCCTACTTTATCCCAGAGGGAGAAGCAGCCCTTTGGTCTTTTTTCTTGGTCATGAAGAGCCATCCTGACACCCCCCATTGACAGAGCTAGCCAGGATTACTTCGGGGCACAAAGGGAGGTTACTTCAGGAGGGTACAAACAAACAGCCAATGGGGAATCCAGGAGGGAGTAGCAAAGGGAGGGTGTTACAATGCAGGAACCACCTAGGATGAGGCGGAATAGAGGACCGGTCACGTAGGCCAATGAGGCCTCGAGGCTTACGGGGTTGACAGGGAAGGATCCAGAAGAAAGGGCAGGGTTTACAATGATGGACAAGGGGTAGGAGCAGGGTTGTGGTGACAGGCAGGGAAGGCTTGGGAATAAGGAGCTGGCTTTACAGTGAAGGGCAGTTCAGGGGAGGATACAACTCCAAGGGGCAAACCACCTTTGGATGAACAGGGGGGAGCAGAAGAGTGAACCATGGAACTGACAAACTTACAACAACAACTAAACTTAAACAATTGCCGCAACACTGTCTTAGACACTTTGAGCAAGAGATTCCTTCCAACCGGGGCCACTTTGAGAGGGGATGGGGGGCAGGGGGAGAACCAGGGCACGTGACAGTGTTTGCAAGGGCCCTTTGTGACATGGTCACCATGGGATGGAAAGGGACAGGGTGTCAAAGGGCCCTTTGTGACACATGGTGACATAGGAGCTGGCCACAGCGACAGGCCCACACCACAGTGCTCGGTGCACGCGACGGGACAGGACACGCCAGAGCGGTGCTGTGAGGAGCCCCCGCACAGCGAACTCGATTGTGTCTGACCCGGAGCTTCTCTGAGCTGTCATTCCTGCAGGTGACCTCAAGGCCAGACCACAGGACTTGGTGACCTGTGGCCTTGCCGAGGCTTATCTTCTTAAGGTGCCCTCGAGGGCAGACTGTGGGACCTGGTGACCTGGAGCTTTTCCGAGGCATCGCCCATCCCTGCAGTCACTGCCCTTGAGACCAGGGCACAATCCTTGAGGAGGAGCCTCCTGTCCTTGTGGCAGGAGCCCTCAAGACCCGAGTGCAGGACTTGCTGTCCTGCAGTCTTTCCAGGACTTGAGTCTTGCAGGTGCCTTCCAGGCACGACTGCAGGACTCCTTGCCTCGGAGCTTTTCCGAGGCATCTCTTGCAAGTACCATAAATCCAGGCACTGCCATGGAGCAGCGACCCCCAAGAGTTCCCAAGCTGGCCTGGGTGCAGGAGGAGGAGGAAGAAGAAGGCCCTGGAGCTGCCCCAGAGGTAGAGACTGAAGAGATGCAGGAATTCCAGCCGCTGGAGGAGGGTGAGTGGCAGAGCTGGGCCTTAGGGCTAGTGCCTGTTGCCAGCTTGGCCCCATCCCATTGCATGCCATGCCATGCTATCCCCTGGTGCTGTTCCTATGGAAAGGATGGGAGAGTGTTGGAGATCTGGAGCAGCGACCGCCAAGAGTGCCCAAGCTGGCCTGGGTGGAGAAGGAGGAGGAAGAAGGTCCTGGAGCTGTCCCAGAAGTGGAGACTGAAGAGGTGCAGGAGTTCCAGCCGCTGGAGGAGGGTGAGTGGCAGAGCTGGGCCACAGGGCTGGTGCCTGCAGACAGCTTGGTCCCATCCCATCCAATCCCATCCCCTGGGGACATGCCCACAGAAAGGATCGGAGAGAGGCTGGGGCTGGCCACCAAGCAGGGCTGTGCTCAGTTCCCTGGGGTTGTCCCTGCCTGGGGATCACAGGGCAGGGCTGCGTTCTCCAGCCGCTCCTGCAACCCCTCAGCTCTGGCTGCTCTCGCTCTTTGCCAGATGCAGCCGTGGACCAGACACAAGAGCAGGACCTTGCCTGTGGCCTCTTCCACAAAACACCTGCACAGGTACCTGCAGCCATCCCCAACTGGGCTGGGCCTGCTGGCACTGCTCAGCTCAGCACCATGCTTGGAACACTCCATGCAATATCCCTCTCTTCCCACCCTTCCTTCTCCTACCCAACATGCAAATTCATCAAGCGCATTTGGCAGGAAGAGACCAGCGTCATGGGCACTGGGTCCATGGAAGATGGTGACGTCTACACCAGCGACACCAGTGCTGCCATGCTGGAATTCATTTTGGAGGAGGGTGTTTCCATTCCAGAGCAAGTAAGCAGCCTGTGGCCAGGGTTTGATCCTCCAGGGATCGCTTGGCCTCCCAAGCCACGCCTGCTGATCACTCTAAGCCTTTGAGGCCATTGCAGCATGGTGACAAGGGAAGCACTTCTCTGGGGAAGCTGGGGACATTCCTGACTCCCTCTGGCAGCTTTCCAAGTCTCCCCTTGTGCCTTCTCCAGGTGCCTGCCATGGTGAGGTACATCCACCAGTGCCTCATGGCCAATGAGTCTGCTGACTCCAGGCTGGGCAGGACCCTGCTGGATCTGACCGAGGCACAGCCCGCTGACGTGGTCACTGCTCTCCTGCGTGTGGCCCCAACGTGTGACAGGTACGAGGCCCATGTGCCCAGAGGGCTCAGGGCTCCCCAGCCCATCAGCCTGCACAGCCTGGACCGGGTGTCTGACCAACAGAGAGTTCCAGGGTCCTGTGTACCTGGGACCTTTCCCAGCCCTGCTCCATTGGCCCCTGAGCCTGCTGCCATGCCATGCCCCATCAGGGCCCTGTCCCCACAGGGCTGGGTTGCCTGGGTGCTGCTGCTGGTGAGGGGCAGCGGGCAGAGGCAGAGCTGGCAGCCAGTTCAGCTCCCCCTGACACTGCTGCCCAGGCCACGGGGATGTGTCTGAGATCCCCATGAGACAGAACTGTCACCCCACAGAGCTGCAGTGACCATGTGGAAGACCATCATGTGCTCGAGCAGGACTGTGGAGCCAGTGATGCAGATACTCCTCGATGTGCTGAGAACCTGGCCAGAGCACAGCAAGTGCACCTCTGATGGGGACAACACGGGTGTCTTTGCCCTGGCTGTGAGTTTCTGCAACTGGCCTTTGCTCACCCCATGGCCAACCGCCTCTCCAACAGCTCTATTTCCTCCTTCTCCCACCGCATCTCCCTGCTTCAGGGACTGGGCTGAAACCTGGCCTAGGGGCAGCTTCAGGGGCACCAGGCGTGGAGCTCCCCAAGGCTTTCCCCTGGCCTTGCCCTGCCGCGCTCAGGCCCTGCCACACAGATACCTTGGCACTGGGCACTATCCCTGGGTGCTTTGTCCTCTGCAGGCA